ATTTATTTATTTGGTACAGGATCTTGCTACGCTGCTCAGACTCATAGTGATCTTGCTGGCTCAGTCTCCCCAAACTCAGTCTCTGCACTTGCCAGGCAGGCACTTAGAACCACTGAGCTATCTCCCCAGCCCAGAACCTCACCTTTCCTACATTTGAATATTAGAGAGTACTTCCCACAAAGCCAAACTTGCCTGCATGGGCAGAACCTGAGCTTCAACTAACGCTTCTCCAATCTCACACTTGAGAACAGGCCCCTTGAGATCTGTGAAGAGCTACACACATCTGGGGACACTGGGCACGTGGCACCATTGCCCAGCTGGGACCTTCCTGAGAAACTTGACTCCATCCACAATGTTTAGCCATAGACACTTGTAGTCACAGAATCCAGATCAACACTGCCTAGGCAAAATGATACGTATAAGTGAAAACCAGGCAGGGAGAAGACTCCTAATTTTCCCAGCCTCCATTCTTTTATTAGATTACACTGCCAAAACACAGTCTTACTTCTTTAAAAATTAAATATTAAAAATCAGGTTGTGAGATAACTCTGCAGACTAAATGCCTACTTAGGCAAATGCAGGGACCAAGGTTTGATCCCGGGTACCACATGCTGTGCTGGCCCCATCCCCAGTGCACTGAGCTGGCCAGTGACATGGGGCTGGTGGTGCACACCTGTAATCCTAGCACTGGAGAGGCTGAAAAAAACAGGAGGATCACTATGAGTCTGAGCTGCCTAGTAGGATCCTGTACCAAATACATTAAAAAATAAACATTAAAATTAAACTTCATTAATTAAAAATTAAATATTTTTACAGGCCACTAAATACAGCTCCCAATTATTTCTGCACATATATATATTAAAAAGTAAACTTCTGAGAAATAGTACAGTAGTGTAAAATCTAAAAGGCACACACACACGTGGTGGCGCGCGCATGTAAACCCAGCTCTTTGAAGGCTGTAAACAGGCGGATCACTACGAGTCTGATCTAGCAGGGAGACCCCGAACACCCTTGTAGACCCTTCCCTAAAATACAAAATAATAATAATAATAATAATAATAATAATAAATAAAAGGCACACACCCAAGGAAATAATCTGTATCGTTCATCCACTGATTCACAAACTGCACAGTGACAGGTCCGGGGCTGTGAGGCAGCTGAATCCGTTCCAGAGTGTGCAGCAATAGCTCAGGGTTGTAGTACAGGGAAGCAATCGCAACCTGCAGGCACATTGTGCGGAGCTCACTTGTCTTGACCCCTCGGGTTAATCTCTCCAGAACAAGCTGGACAAAGAGTGGGATGCACTAGGAGAAAAAGACAAGCATGCGTTAGCTACACCCAGAGTGACGAGTAACTCACAGAACACTGCCCGCTGGCGGACAGTGCTAGCAATAGCTAAGTGCTAAAGATAATGTACACCCACTTAGATACGCTGCTTTGAAGAGTTACTTAAAAGACTTATATCCCCATAACACCCAGAGATGAACAAACAAAAAGAAGTCCCAAGGCGGTGCCAGATGCACTCCGTCCCCCGTAGGCACACACTCAAGCTAGTGGAGGATCGTCCTGTAAGAGCCCCTCTCCAACGGTGGCAATAACTCACACGTGGACCTGGCCATTGCTACGGCAAAGTGATGACAGTGGGATTTTTGACAAATCACATTGGAAATAAATGAAAGAACAGAGAATAAGTAAGACACATTTGAGTATTTCTTACCAAAAAAGAAATTCTACTTATATACATATAAGATGAAAAAAACCGAGAAAGGTTGAATCCCATACATTAAAATGAAAAAATCTGACTTCAGTTACAGCTCCATATTTAGTTCATACTAAGCATAAAGTATTCACAGTTCTGCTTGGATAGTATAACACATATATGCTATAAGCTACATTAAAAATTATCACCATCGTCAAGTAACAGTTGAGGAGCAATGAAACCACAAGGAAATGTAAATTTGAAAAGCTCTTTTTGAAATGCTTTAAAACTTGTTTCATTTGAACAAATATCACTACACACAAAGCCACTAAGAATTCAAAAGAATTCTGAAGTCTTACTAACCTAGTAATGCTAAAATTACCCTCTTACATTAAAACAAAAATAGGTGTGCCATGCCGGCCCTGCCCCCAGGACACGCTGAAATGGCAATTGAGACTGGGCCTGGTGGTGCGCACCTGTAATCCCAGTGCTTGGGAGGCTGAAAACAGGAAGATCACTACGAGTCCAATCTGTGTAGCAACCCCCTGTAGATCTTATACTAAATACATAAAAAATAAAATAATCAATGATAGGGACCAGTTGGACAAACTACCTGACCAACCGATGCAGCACCACAGGCTGCAGAAGGATCTCAGACCTCTGCTCATCACCATGGCGGATCTGCAGGATGGGCCAGTAAGCAGATAGGGCCAGACGGGAACTCGCGCACATCGTGCTGTCCCCCAAATAAGACCTAGCTGGTAGGCAATCGGCCTTGATGACCAGAGTGCAGACATGCCAGCCCCATGCCAGCTGTCCTTGCCTCAGCCCCATCACTGTTTTCCTGAAGGCAGGGGAGGCGGGAAGCATTCACTGGACTGGCATTTCCCCCAGCTAGTTGTCAAGGCTCAGTACCTCCCAGCCACGTCTTACTTTCAGGAATAGAGAGTGGGATGCCACTGTTCATCTAAGAAGACAAGGAGAAAATGGAATACCTACTATTTTTAAATACTAGAATGAACTAATAGTGAGGGAAAATCAGGGGAGACAGAAAGTCAGACATGAAAGCTGGACTTCCCTGAATGTACTTGTTTTATAAATTAGAACTGTGTGCATGTCCTACCTACCCATTAATTTTTCAAAAGGCAGTATGAAAAATAAGATAAAATGAAAAGGAACGAGGGATTTTTAGAGTTTCTTTTTATTAGTACACACTGACAGTACATAATGATGACATTCATAAGGAGGACCTGGTACTTGCACATAACATATCTTAATTCTTACTAAAAATTTAATTATTTGACCATATTTTGGACTATAATATATCTCTACAGTACAGGTACACTTTGGTATTGAAAAGAATTCCATAACCACTAAGAAGAATATATGCAGTGTATTATTTGTTGAAACTGTATTTTCAATTTGATTTGAAACTGTCTCATTGCTATATGTTTATCAATAAAACTTTGAAAAGAAAAAAAGAAAAAAGAAAAAAAATGGTTAGGATAGATATATAGTTACATTCTCTTAATGAATAGAGGACATATAAGTGAAATAAACCAGACACACATGTGTAAATATCGTATAGTCTCCCTAGTATAAGAACTCCAAAGAAGAAATACAAATAGAAAGATATAATACAA